TTCTGATGATCAAGACGTTGTGGAGCTTCTACCAAAATTTTCCCAAGAGAAATGGAAAAATGGTGGTGTTGCATGTGATGAGTTGTTAATGGAACTTCACAAGATTGTTCCCAAGCTTCATTCATAAGCCTTTCAATTGTACTGAAGCAGAAGTGCTGAAGGCTATTTGTCTGTTTCCTGAATTCGGTAATATGCATGGTAATGAACCATGCATATTTGTAAAGAGAGAGGATGGACAAACAAATATTTAGCGTGTCACAGTAAAATTTCAATTTGGAAGCAACTAAGATCTAATTGTATTGGATCTTCTCGTAGAGGTGACAAAGAACTGAAAGAGGGAAAATGGATTTATTTATGCAGAATAAAATTTATTGGGAATAAGATAGTTGACTGTTGTGTCTAAGTGGGGCATCGAGTTGAACTGTGAAAATGACTAAAGAGCAACAGCAATAGCAATCAAAATCTTCAAAGGTCCCCTCTCGAGAACTTCTGGACAATCCTTACCTATTTGATGATCCAAGTTCCAGAGTAATCTCTCTCTCTCTCTCTCTAAATGTGTGTGCATGCACTTGTAAATGCACTTATTAACTGCATTGATAATGTGTACATGAATAAGTTCCTTTTCCTATCAGAATATTTGAGTAGATAAGAATATTTGTTGATGTTGTTTTTTTTTGTAGAAGTTACCTGCGCTTCTTTGGTTAGTTTTTTCCAGAATCAGCTTCTGAATAGGAAGTTTGAATAATCATTGTTTTTTTAAGCTGATGTTGAACATTCTTTTCTTATGCTGATGTTTGCTTAATTCTTCTGTTTAGATTGTTGAGGACTAAAGACAACTTGTGTGCTGGCTTTCCATTTGTACGTATTGGCCACAAGACAATTTCACTTCAGTCGAGTAATGGCACTATAGAAGTCAAGTAAACATGTCGTACTAGATAACTTGATCCTCAGGTGAGATGCTGTACTAGGAATTACTAGACTTATAACTGCAAATTCGTGAATGGTGTTTATTATTAAATGTTTCAAGTTTTCAGTAGTAAAAACAGTATAAGCATTGTATAGATGAAATCACGTTCATCCCAAAATTATAGATCAATTCGTCAATTCATATGAGCAGTGTCATTTACTCAATCGCGAAGTATGAGTAGTCTATAGAGGTTCAACTGTGCAGATATGATTGCCTTATGTTGTTTGCAGGAAAAAAATAAAATAATGATAAGAACTTTGATATGAAGAATTTTCCTATTATAACCCTACCAAGTTGGAGGCAATTTCGCAATGATTGCTTCGACCTGTAAGATTCAGGGAATTCAATCTTCACCATTTTCAACTTGCAGTGTACTAGAGGCAATAAAGGAATGTCATCCAAACATTTTAAAATAAAAATATTTAGAGAATAAAAAAATTCAGGCACCTTTCTCCTCGACTTTATTTATTTTTCAAGTGCATTTATTTAGCCGAAGTGGTGGTGGTATAGATAGTGATAACAAAAAAACCTGCCCTGCCTCGCCTCGGCGCTGCCCCGCCTCGGCGCTGCCCCGCCCCGCCCCGATTAGGGTGAAAAAAACTCGTCCCGACAGGTTAGTGGGGCGGGGAGGGGGTGCTTCGCCTTGAAGCGCCCCGAACCCGCCTCGTGAAGAATAAAAGAAAAATTAACTAAAAATAAAAAAAAATAGTTAACTGAAAATTTTTGAAAAAAAAATAAACTGGGCAGGAAACGAGACAATCTCGCTCCCCGAATCAGCCCCGCCCCGTCTAAGGTGGGGCGGGGCACTGGGCGGGGTGGGGTGGAGAAGTGGTGGGGTGGGGTGGGGCGGGCGGGGCAGGGTGGGGTGCCCCGAACCCTCCCGTTGCCATCTCTAGGTAGAGAGATCGTAAAAACGGTCGCATAGAACATTTAGAATGTGGTCTCGACAAATCAATCTATTATGGTTTCTTGTTTCTTCTTTTGTTCGACCCGTACTTTGAAATCTTTGTATTATGGTTTAAACATTGGTGCAAGATTTGGATCAAGATAAAAGATCTTCAATGCTATTAATAGAAACTTGAGTTTGTCTTGCCACATGGTAGAATTTATTCCATTGAACATATACAAGCAAACCAAGTACAACCGTCCTTTTGATGTTGTCGTGGTCAAGCGAGCTGAAAGAGAGGTTGCATTCCTCTTGAACATATACAAGCAAACCAAGTACAACCGTCCTTTTGATGTTGTCGTGGTCGAGCGAACTGAAAGAGAAGTTGCCTTCCTTTCTTTGTTAATGACTTCGAGTTAGTTACTTTGCGTGATTCTTGTTGAAGTATATACTCGAGGGGTAGGTATAGGACAAACGATATTAAAGAAGACTCTTCATTCATTAGATTGAGAAGTTCACCAAGATTTCATGATTTGCTGTCGAATTTATTCTAATTCCAAGAGTGGACCGAACTATATGTGTAGAGACCGGATACATTAGGGTTTGTATTTGAGATGTGCCGAATACATATGGAAATTATATATAGGGTTATGGTCCCCAATTCATATGTGATTTTCTCATTCTTTGTGTCATTCCATCAACACAAGAATACAAGAGAAATCATATTGAGGAGGAAGATCGATAAACCCACAATCAGAAATCAAGAAGAAGGTTTGGAACAATCAAATTGAAGATTGAAAGATTCAAGATTCATTACTCAAGATTCAAACCAATGGATCAAGGTATATTCCGCGTTAATTTAAATTTCTTGATGGTTTAACATGAAGATCTTGGCAAATTTATAAAGTTTAAATTTCATGAAAAATTTCAACAAGTCATTGTAGTTACGAAAAAAAGGCTTAATAGCAGAAAATCCATTATCTATTAGACGTTTTGCAAAAAAATCCTACTCACTGGAAATAGCATAAAACATCCTTGTTTGAAACCTTTAGTGCGGAATATAACCTTTTAAATACGGAAAACTCCTTATCATTCAATTCATTTAGTTTGATAATTAAAAAGGGTAAAAATTGACCAAATTAATTACATCCCTTATCTTAAACATTTTTTTTCTTTTGGCGAATTATATCCAAGTATTTTTTATGTACCACTCACAACTTCAAACCTTTAAAACTTTATTTTTCAACTCGAGCCTTGTTATAATCCTATGAACCTAAACTTTCTGGTTTCTCTCTCTCTCTTTTTTTCAAATTATACCCAAGTTTTTTATTTATACGATTAGTAATCCCACAACTTTAAAATTTGATTTTCCACATCATCGCCCCCACTCCACCTTCTTTCCTCAAACCTCGCAAATCTGTAAGGCCATGTTTAATAGGCCACTTTTTCCGAGAAAGTAGGAAAATATTTCACTTTCCACTTTTTTAGCTGTTTGATAGGCGAAATTTTCCACGGAAAACATTTTCCGAATTTCCCCACACGTGTGCAATTTTCTAGTTTTTGATGAAAATGTTTTCCCGCCTTTTTGGTGGGAA